CCTGTGTATGTATATATATGTGTATATACTTATATCCATACATATACATACGTGAGTTTTGTTTGTGTTTTACAGAATGGTAAGTTATGTGTCTTATGTAATATGTCTATGTTCTATGTTTTGAGCTACTCATTCTTTGATATCTTCTTGCTATCATGTATTCCTGATTTTGTGCGGGTGTCTACCCCACTCTGCTGGAGATCTGTGTTTTAGGTAAGATGGACTCTATCCTCTGTGCCAGGATTTTTTTCAATTTGTCTATAGTAGTCAAAGTGGGAGACAAAGTTTTAAATGCATTCTACCTGATCTGCCGATCTGGAATCCTAAATGGCACTCTGAGAGCTGGCCGCAAGCCAGGAGCCGTGAAGCCAGGACGTGAGTGAGAGAGCAAGAGCCCCCAAGGCCCACGTGTTTGGTTTTTATACCAAACCTGGATGCTTAACTCCACCCTCAGGTCTCAGCCACCTTCCCTTTGGTTTGGAGTGGGGGTGGAGTCCACAAAGCCTGTATGGAATTAGCTCAGGACATCCTTTCCCCCTAACAGTTTCAGTCCCCTAATGGAATTCTGCACAGCTATTAAAAAACAATGAACTAACTCAATAAATAAAGACCTGGAAAGTTAAGGGAAACAATTTTACATACACACGATGAGCTACTACACTTGGTGACTGACATCAGCAGGAAGCACAATTCTGACCTGTCAGATGTGGAGGCCTTTGGGAGTGGGTTTTTCCTTCTTAAAAAGAAACCAAAGAGATAGATGCTCTCTTATATCTGGCCCCCAGCCATATCTGGATCTGAGCTTGGAGACCCTGATGCTGCCTGTGGCCATGGGGGAGCTTTGGGAGGGCTGAGTGAAGATATGCAGGAGGCAAGGCTGAGGCCACTGTAGGACAGGGATGGGGAACACATTTCCTTAGCTTTGAAGTGGTTCAGTGGTGGTGTCTGTCACTTCCTGACTGATGCCTTTCCTTTAGTTCAGTTCTGCTTTGTTTGCATGAAGGTCTCCCTTTAAGTGGACAGGAGGCTGAATATACCCATACCTCTGATGATACTTGTGGTTCTGCATCACTGCTGTTAGTGGAGGGGGTGGGGTCTTCTTAGACTGGCCAGTGGACTGGAATTCCTGATTACATAGTTTTGCAAATTTTATATACTTGCAGAGGATTTAATGGCAGATTGAGAGGAGATGTGCTGTGGATAGCTTATTGTCATGTAGGTCCAGAATTGCTCTCATGTGCTCCTCCTACACATTTGCATAAATAAATTTATTTCCCAGGTCAGGCTTTACCACCTCTGAGAAACCTTTTGTTTTTATCTCTGGATAGCGTTAAACTTTCCTTTGTTTATTCTGTTTTTTTTTCCCTTTAATTTACTTCAGTTTTTGGATGGATAACATCATTTATCATGTCAAATGCTGCAATACATTCTTCTTATATAAGCATCTCATTTAATCCCTGTGACAACCAGTTCAGCAGGTGTTTTTATTGACATTTTACAGTTGAGGAAATTGAAGTATAGAAAGGTTAAGTGACTTTCCCCAAATTACACAGTTAGTAAATGACAGAGGTGGTATTTGAGATCTGCTCTGTCTGACTCCAGAGCTTTACTCTGAACCAGCATGCTGTGAACTGTAACAAACAATCAAGCACACACATGGGTGTGTCTTGATGAGCTTCTACAAGCAGAGGACCGCATCCTGCTCTCTATCACCCGCTCTGCTCCCAGACTTCCTCACCTAGGAGACACGGAGCTTGGGATTGCTGAACTCAGAAGGCTTGCCAGGGAGTGCGTTGGGATCAGCACCCATGGAAGCAAAAGGCAGGGAAGGGAGCAGGATCAAGTTGAGGGAGAGGCTAGCCTGTGGTGCAGTCTCAATGGAAGCCTCAGTTGACCCTTGAGAGACCTGAAGATGGGATGACTCTGCAGAGCTGTCCTGAGTTGGAGAGAGCTGAGCCTTTCTACCAATGTGTACAGCAATATTGCTATGGACTGTCCTGGGGAGGAGGCATGACCTGCCAAGGGGTCTTTCTTCAGCTGAGTCCCGCCCTGAAGAGGACAGCTGCGGGCATTTGGTGGCAACACTCCCAGAAGTTGGGAAATAAGCTCTTCATTCCATAAGAGATCTGGTCCTGCCTCACGGCCTCTACCATACCACTATGCATCAAGTTTTCTCAGAAATGTTGTATGTGTCTTCCATGTGTGTGCACACACATACACGCAGACACACACAAACACACCAATCCTTTTGACATTTCTCAGCTGCTGCCCATCTCAGATGGAGAGTTGACTAAATACATCCAGGGCATATGTTCCTTACCCTGGAGCCACGAGGCAGGAAACCCTTAAGAACTTGTTTGCATGAGGTGGGGGAGGGGGTGGGTGTATGTGTGTGGCTTGAGCTTTGTTTGGTTTTTGGCTTGCTGATCTATTCTCTCTGTTTTCCTCCTCCTCCTGCTTTGGGGACTATTGTGAGACTTGGCTGAATATCGGGTTCCCCAGAGTCTTATAACTGGAGCGGTGTCTCACGGTCTGGTCCTGGCAACCTGCTCACTGCTGCAGCCAGGGCCCTGCCTCACTCTCCAGAGCAACTATTGATGACCATGGAGAAGTATGACTTAGTGTTGGAAAGGCCTGACCCCTCACTGCGAGAGGATTGCCAACACTGCCTTGAATTCCCCAGACAATCTCAGTGGTGGTGCTTGGAAGGTGCCATACATCAGACAGATAGGTTCTGGCCACCTAACACAGGTACCACGGAGAGAGGCAAGAATGGAGGCCATTGAATGAGCCCATTCTTCTCTGAGATTCAATCTTTGCCTTTTGCTCACAAATGAGAAAACTTGTCTGGCTTCAAATGACTCCCATCCAGAACAGGACCAGCACCAGTGGTCAAACCAAGCCAGGGGAATGAGGCTAGGACTCATGTTTTAGCACTTAAGGCCAAGACCCCCAGCCCATTCCTCCCCTTTCTTCTTCTTCTCCTTCTCCTTCTCCTCCTCCTCCTCCTCCCCTCCTCCTCCCCCTCCCCTCCTCCCCCTCCTCCCCTCCTCCCCTCCCCTCCCCACCCCCCCTCCTCCCTCCTCTTCCCCCCTCCTTCTTTCTTCTTCTTCCTTCTTTCTTCTTCTTCTTCTTCTTTTTTGATCAAGTTGTCAGGACAGAGAGCTCAGGGCTAGCTTACAAAAGCAGGAATAGCACTTAGAGCAGAGCAAGCCACGCCACAGTTCCTGGGGGCATATAGGGGTAGACAGTTTGGTTCCTAGAGGAACCAAATCAGTGTGGACACAGGTTAGATGCAAAAAACTGACTTGGGCACCTCCTGGTGGAGCGGCAGGTTGAGCGCAGTGCTGTGAAGCTTTCCGCAACCTCTGCAGCGCGGGTTCGATTCCTGGCCAGCCAGGGAGCAACCCACATGGCTCAGCAGACCTCTCGTCTCTCGCCTGCTGCTCCCCTCAGCAGTGTATTTCGGTCCATCTGCCTGTTCTGCTCCTCTCTCTGTCTCTGGTGAATCCTCTCACCCTCCCACACCTCTAGCCTGTACCCCTGTTCTTGTATAAAAATAAACAAATCTTTAAAAAAAAACTGAGTTGGGAAGTGTGTCCAACTCTAGCAGCTGGTTTAAATATTCCCTGGGAGCTCATTGTAATGCCGATGGCAGTGGGGTCATTGGTCACTGGATTGTGGGACAATCCAGAGAATAGACAGCACCACCCGCCCTCTTTGGAAGTAACCTTTGTAGTTACTACTTTATCTCCCAAGAAATATTAATCGAATTTCTACTCTGTGCCAGTGATTGGTATGGATTCAAAACTGATCAAGTCTCAAATGTCCCTTGCTCTCTATCAATCCCAGAGCAGAAGGATATATTTATAAGCTCATTTATTTGAGGGAGTCTGCAGAACATTTTCATTATAGATATTTCAAACATAGAAAGAGATAAAGTAAATAATAGACTGAAGCTCTATGTCCACATCTCCTATTTTTAATAGTTGTCAACATAATGCCACGGGGTGTTACCTGGCTATGCATACATAAAATCCCCTAAGTACATCCTGACTTCATATCATTTCATCTCTAAATTGCCTAGAATAGGGCCTCCCCGGTGGCGCAGCGGTTGAGCGCTGGGTTGCGAAGCTGCCCGTGGCCTCTGCGGCGCCGGTTCGATCCCCGGCTGCTCCCCGGCCACCGGAGGAGGGTCCCACATGGCGTGCAGACTTCTCCTGCCGCCCGCTGCTCCCCTCAGCAGTGTACTTCGGTCCTTCTGCCTGCTCTGCTCCCCGCTCTGGCTCTGGTGAATTCTCTCACCCTCCCGCGCTTCTGACTGTACCCAGTGCATGTATAAACAAAACAAACAAACCAGCAAACAAATAAATAAAGCATGCCTCTATAAAAAAAAAAAAAAAAAAAAAATAAATTGCCTAGAATATCTCTAAGTGATAATACCTTTAAAATAACCCAATAACTGTGGTACCGATGATTAATGATAATTCCTTGATATCAAATATATAGTTAGATTTTAAATTTTCTATATAAATATGTGTGCTTTTTGAACAGTTGGCTTGTTTGAATCAATATCCAAATAAGATTAAGTGGGTATATTTTAAATTTTCTGGGAGGGCCTCCCTGGTGGTGCAAGGGGTTGGGCACCGCACTATGAAGCAATCCGCAGCCTCTGCAGCACGAATTTGATCCTCGGCCGGCCAGGTAGATTCCCACGTGGCACAGCAGACCTCTCCTGTCTCACTCGCTGCTCCCTTCAGCAGTGTGTTTCTGTAGATCTGCCTGTTTTGCTCCCCATTCTGTCTCTGGTGAATCCTCTCACCCCCTGTACCTCTGGCCTGCACCCCAGCTCTTGTATGCATAAGGAAATAAATTTTTTAAAAAATTTAACTTTTCTGGGGGCTTGTAGCAGTGATGTGGACATTTATGCACAACTTGTAATCCTGCAGGAAGTACACCCAGGATTTGCTGCCAGTGGGGTTTTTCTTGGTTATGAGCATTGGCTTTGGAATCCCAGCCATGTGAACCAGAGCAGTGAGCCTCTCCAACTCTCAGCTTCTCATCTGTATAACTCCCAGAGTCATAGTAAGTACTACGTGAGATCATCCATACGTATGATGCTTCATACATATGCTGCCTTACAGTAAGTGCTAAATAAATAAATTCTGAATATAATTATAACTCTAATAAACACAAAAATGATGACATTCAATTTAGCCCTTTAAGCATTCAGTCTTTTTGCAAAGTAAAGACAATGTATATTTTCAGGTAGAGACAAAAACAGTTTTATGTAAAGGCAAGAATTGGAAATCTGGCATATCTGATAAATGATGAGGTCTACCAGTTTTGGGTGTCACAAGATGAGACTGGAGAAGTAGGTTGTTTGCATCCAGGGACATGGGTAAGGAGCTAAAGTTTTGGTGTTGAATCTTATAGACATGGGGTGGTGGGTCTAGGGAGAGGTTTGTGGGGAAGCAATGACATCAAATTTCTCCAGCAGCAGGTGGAGGGGTGGATCCTACAGGAGGGAGACCTGGGCATGAAGGCACAGCAGAGCACAAGGAGACAATGATGCCCTCAACAAGTCATAGTGAGATCATCCACATATATGATACTTAATATATAGGCTGAATGTATATGCCTATGTGTGTGCCTAATGCATAGGCAGAATGTGAAGAAGCTGCTGGAGAAGCAGCATTGCTGAGGCAGTCTGGGCAGGATTTAGTGAAATATTAAATGCTGGCAGATGAGAAGGGAAGGAAAATTTAAAAATCACTCTAAATTTCTGGCTCAAGTACCAGCTAGAAGGGATGCTGATGAAGATGACAAAAACAGGCATCTGGACAAGTTTCAGTAATGGGGACAATGAACTCTACTTGGAATGTGTGCAATACAAGCTGCCTGTAGGACACCTACGTAAGACTATGCTCATACTTGTATATCTTCAAATGCCCCAGGAATGACTTAGAAGGGAATTGAGGAGTGAAGCTTGGGCCTGCTGCATCTCGCCTGCCTCCTGCAGACCTACTATGAAATCTGGCATTTCCTTATATCTTTTTCAAAGGCTAAATGAGAAGTCCATTTGATGACAAGTAAATAAAATCCAAACTGCTTTATTTGTAGTGTATTTGGACGGTGGACAATGTGGTTTTATGCTGAGACAAAGAACCCCACAATCTGCCAAGTTACAATTCTTGAAAGTCAACACCCTTTGAGGATCTGATGACATTGATCAAACAGCCCATCATTTTATCTCACTTTCCTGCATTTTCCCATTTTCAGTTCAGACCACAGTGACCTAACAGGAAGGCAAAAATATTTTGCTCGGGATAAAGACTGGTTTTGTAAAGCAAAAAAAAAAAAAAAAGGAAAAGTGGTAGAGTCATGTCACCAAGAAACAACAGAGCTGGTGTTCAAACTCAGAGGTCTGGCTCTGGAGTTCATGTCCCTAACGTATATACTACCATGCCTGGATGGACATGGGGTTCGATCTTAGAGTAAGAGATTAAATAAATGCAGCAATAATTCAATAGAAGGTGGTAAATGCAGTAATGGAGAGTACAGGTGTTATGAGTGTCTGCTCATCTCCTTGATCCAGTCTAGGATGGATGAGAAAGTTCTCCTGGGGGAAGTAACACTAGTTATGACTTGAAGGATGAGCAGGAAAAGATCAGGCAAAGGGTCAGGAGGGGCAAACTACAGGCAAAATCATCAGTGTGGGGGAGGATCCTGAGGGTTCTGTGGTCTCTGAGGAGCAGCACATTCAAGTGCATCAACTCCCCTAATGTCAGAAAGTAGTTTTCATTATTATTTTTTTAATTTTTAAAAAGATTTATTTATTTATATAAGAACTGGGGTACAGGTCAGAGGTGTGGGAGAGTGAGAGGATTCACCAGAGACAGAGCAGGGAGCAGAATGGGCAGACGACCGAAATATACTGCTGAGGGGAGCAGGGGGCGCGACAGGAGAGATCTGCCACGCCATGTGGGAATCTCCCTGGCTGGCTGGGAATCGAACCTGCACTGCAAAGGCTGCAGACAGCTTCACAGCGCTGTGCTCAACCCGCTGCGCCACCCGGGAGGCCCCAGAAAGCAGTTTTCTTATGAAACCTCTTGTAAGGCAAGATGGCATAAAGCAAAGTAGCAATTACCATTAATTCATACAGAAAAATTTTTGAGTGTTAACCCAAAAAAATTTAGTAAATAATATCAAATAATACATCACACCTAAAATCACGCTAACATCTAGTAAAAGCAGGAATGATATGATACCCACACAATCTGTGTAAAGAAATTCCTGGGAAAGGAGCTTGGTGCTGCCTCTGGAATGGCGGCTGCAATACAAGTACTGAATGTTATTTTTGCTTTTTCCATTTTGTCCTAAAAGTGAAAATCCTTTTTGGATTTCTTCTGGTTAGCAAAAGCAGGTACTAATATAGGACTTTTGTAAAAGAAAAGTGGTATAATATGAACTTTTAGAAATGGGGGAATTCCTGTACTTAAAGCAAAAAGGATGAGAAATGAAGGCGGATGGGGAAGCTGAGCTGCATGGATCTTCTGAGGATTTTGGACTTTCTCCTAGCAGCGGCGGGGGACTGTTGAGGGTTGGAAGGGCACCAAAAAATACATTTGACTATGGAATGGAACGTGGCTTGAAGGGTGACAAGAGGGGGAAACGGGTTAGATAGCACTCTAGGAATCGGGAAGGAATCTGGTAATGGATGTGGAGACAGCTGTGATTAGATGTTACATATAGTTTTTTCAGGTAGAACCTAAAAACCTTGATACTGGCTGGGAGGTAAGGAGTGAGGAGAAAGGATGACTTTCATGGTTTTTGTTCCCATAAGTGGATACTTTTAATTAATGCTGTTTGCTTAGTTGTGAGACAGGTGTGGGATGATGCAATTTGTTCAAAAGCTTTTATTTATTTATTTATTTATTTATTTTTTTTTATCTTCCATTTTTACATTTCATTTTTATTTCTTCAAATGTATACACATTGCAAACAAAAGCTGTTAAAAAGGAACACTGGGAAATCCATAAATTGTATTAACATTTTATAGAAAATGCATAGGGCAGGGTTGGTGTTGGTTTGGTTCCTATTGTTTCTGTACTCCCAGCATTATATTTATTAAGTAAATGAGTTGAAAGAAGCTGTAAATGCTGACATCAAATAACCAGCACCTATCATTTGTTTATTTTCAGTATCAATGAATCATCTAAACTCTTTTCTACCCATCTAAAAGCTGAGGGCAACACACTTTATAATAATATCCATTTATCCAATATAGGGTACAAAAAACATTTATAAAACTATAATTTGGGATTTTCCTTGATGCTACTCCCTCCAAGGTGGGCTATTCATGACAATTTTTTTTTTTTTTTTTTTTAAATATTAAATTTTATTTTTATATTCCCCCATACAATTGCAAACGCCCCATTCTGACCCCAATCCTTCCCCTCCCGCCCCCCACCCCAAAAGTGTCTCTGGTTCATAGTTTTTTGTTGATTTTGATTTTCACTTTCTTATATTCATTTTCCTGGTCCTTATTTAAGTTTTCTAGATTCCTGCTATGAGTGAGACCATCCGGTATTTTTCTTTTTCTTTTTGGCTTATTTCGCTGAGCATGATCCCTTCCAGTGCCATCCATGTTGCTGCAAATTGCATGTGTTTATCTTTTTTGAATGCTGAGTAATATTCCATGGTATATATGTACCACATCTTCTTGATCCAGTCATCTATTTTTGGGCATTTGGGTTGTTTCCAAAGCTTAGCTATTGTAAACAGTGCTGCTATAAACATAGGAGTGCAGGTGCTCTTTGGAATTGATGTTTCTGTGTCCTTTGGGTAAATACCTAGGAGTGGAATTGCTGGATCATATGGAAGCTCTATGTTTAGTAGGTCCAGAAATCTCCACACAGCTCTCCATAGTGGTTGGACCAGTTTGCACTCCCACCAACAGTGCACAAGAGTTCCTTTTCTCCACATCCTTGCCAACATTTGTTGTTGCTAGTTTTTTTAATATGTGCCATTCTCACTGGTGTGAGATGGTATCTCATGGTAGTTTTGATTTGCATTTCCCTGATTACAAGTGATGTTGAACATTTTTCATATGTCTGTTGGCATTTGCATTTCTCTTCAGAGAAGTTTCTTTTTAGCTCTTCTGCCCATTTTTTGACTGGATTATTTTCTTTGTTGTTGCTGAGTCTCATCAGCTCTTTGCAGATTTTTGTGATCAGTCCTTTATCATTAGTGTTGGGTGCAAAAATGTTCTCCCAGTTGGTGGGGTTTCTCTTTGTTTTTGTTATTGTCTCTTTTGCTGTGCAGAAGCTCTTTAATTTGATGTAGTCCCAGCTGTTTATCTTTCTCTTCACTATCACTGCTTTGGGTGATGTGTCTGTAAAGATGTCTTTGATGTGCAAATCCCGTAGTGTTTCGCCTATATTTCCTTCTATGTATTTTATGGTTTCAGGTCTTATGTCTAGTTCTTTAATCCATTTTGAGTTGATTTTTGTGTATGGTGTGAGGTAGTGGTCAAGCTTCATTCTTTTGCATGTAGCGACCCAGTTTACCCAGCACCATTTATTGAACAACCTTTCTTTGCTCCAATGCATAGTCTTTGCTCCTTTGTCAAAGATTAGTTGACCATAAATCTGTGGGTTTATTTCTGGATTTTCTATTCGATTCCATTGGTCTGTATGTCTGTTCTTGTTCCAATACCATGCAGTTTTGATGATTATGGCTTTGTAGTATAGTTTGAAGTCTGGGAGTGTGATGCCTCCATTTCTTCTTTTTTTTTCAGTAGAGCTTTGGCTATTCGGGGTTTTTGGTGATTCCATATGAATTTCATCAATAATTGTTCTATTTCTTTGAAGAATGCCATTGAGATTTTGATTGGAATAGCATTGAATCTGTATATTGCTTTTGGTAGGATGGCCATTTTAATAATGTTTATTCTTCCAATCCATGAGCAGGGGATGTCTTTCCATTTCTTTGTGTCTTCTTCTATTTCTTTTAACAGTGTTTTATAGTTTTCTTTGTATAGGTCCTTTACCTCTTTTGTTAGATTTATTCCCAAATATTTG